CCTGCGACAAAGGAAACACAGGCGAAAGCATCAATAAGAGCTTCATAACTTCATGGCAAGTGCTGAGATGTTTTTTGTCTTTCAGTATTGGGGCGGTCCATCATTATTTGGCTCTTGTTGTTATTTCCCTTTTGCCTGTTCATTTTAGCAATCACAATTAACCTGAGTTGTGTATGAACACCTCATACGAAGGCATATGATGTTCTCATATGAATGCTCTTCATACACATTTCACTATAATCTAAGATAAAAAATAAATACATTATAAGAGGAATTTGTTTATTATTAAAAAGCCCTTTTTCATTATTAATAGCGTGGCATTTTTTGTGTGAAGGCACTTTTGAGATTTGTTTCTCCAAGTTATTATATATTTATTTGGTTGGAAACTATTTCTTAGGCTTCTTCAAGATCAGCTAAAACTGGCCAATCAGTTTAGCCACAGCACCATATGACACAGAGAGTTTAATGATATATAAATAATTACCACACCCAGAAAGTTATTTCATCTGTTGTTGATTGTTCAAGTTTTACAACTAAATGTAAAAATAAAACACAAAATAATATTTCTATTGTAAATGAGCAAATCCTGTTTGGCAGATTTGCAGTTGTGTGTACTCACGATAACGAATGGAAAGACTAGTCCCAGCAAAGCGAAGAAAAACCAGTGTTGGGACCCAATGAGGACAAAAGCTGCCATTCGGTCGCTCTGGATGAAGAGCTCACTGTGGAGAGTACCTGTGGTTCCCCCTGACAGAGCAGAGACATAGGTGTTAATTATCTGTGCAAGTAAACGTCTTAAACTTAGGCCACAAGGAGACAAAACGGGTTGTATCCGCTACAGTTCTCTATCGTATAGACAGTTCGTCCACACGAGGCCGACAGGGAAACTCAGATAACGCTAACGGCTCCCAAGGTGGGTAGATCTGCGGACGCAACGCTCTGGGGGGCCAAACGGCTCAGTGTACGATCATTTCCTGATAACGATGACGCCATAGCTCCGCCTCTCCCCACCTCTGGTGCTCACCCCCGCGTCACCCGCGTCATTGCTGATGTGTTTCGCCAACAACAACAACAACAATGGCGGCTCACAGGGTTGCTTTCGTGCTCCAGACGCTACTGACCATGCTACAGATGTTAGTGCAAAATCTACAGCTCCTCTACCACAACCATCAGCAACAAGTTGACATGGAGAACAATATGAACTACATGTTGCTAAATTCACCACGGAGAATAACCAGAAGGGCAATCAGGAAACCATGGCAACCACGCTCGGGGGTCTTATTCGCTGCTTTTGGTGTATTTACAGGCCCGGCATATGTACAGTGTTTCCAGCGGGTCGAGCGGTCTCGTGTGGACGGACACGTTTCTTGAACTGATTCCGTGGGGACGGAAGACTTTTTTGATATCGAATTCGGTTTGTTTTCGTTTTCGTCTCCGTGTGGCCGGGAACTTAACTGCTGTAGGAAACTTACCAGGTCCTCCGGAAAAGGAGATGATGAAGAGGATGATCAAACTAACCGTGATGTATGGAACCCACTCGCTGGAATCCTGCATGAGAAGAAAATGTTGCATGTGAATATTAAAACTGTCTGCTATACTAAAAATCAAGATCATTTAAAAAAATTGATGCCTTTGCACAGTGCAACAATCAAAAGTAAGACGTTTATTTTTAAATACACTTTCACAGCTTGCATTTGCTACATGTCACATTTGAAAAGGTCAGTTACGGCATCCACCGCAATAAAATGTAATTTAATTTGTAGTACAGGGACTATTTCTTTGATTGAAATGTAGTTCCAGTGAGTCTTTAGTGTCCTTCAGTCCTCCTCAGATTATCTCAAAGATATCTCAAAGTCTGAATGTCTTGAAACTACCAAGGCTAAGAAAATGTGCTCAGGTGGGTAAAATTACCCTTTAAAGAGTTCTTCTGATCTCTCACACAGCTGTGTAGATGTCCGTGTCTAAAGGTTTACCTTCAGGTTGAGCGTTACAGTGACAAACACCAAGCTGGCACCCATGACACCATAACCGCCCCAGAACAACGGCCTCCTCCCACTGTGCTCAATCATCAACAGGCCCTGGGAGAGAAAAAAAAGTTTAAAATGTGAGTGCAATGAAGATGTGAAGATGTGGAGATAAGGAGCTCATGTTCATTCACACAGGAGATGGAGGTGATGATTTCAGACACTCCGAGACAAAGAGTTACGTAGCGGATTTTGTCTCTCGGTAGGCCTGCCTTCAGGAAGATGTCAAAAGAGAAAGTACTGATCTAGGAAAGAGAAAAGCATTGGTTGATAATCGTATTGTTTAAGATGAATAAAGCTCTTTTGGATGCCGTGATTCCATCCTTACCGCGGACTTGCCCGACAGCTGGTTGGACCAGAAGATGATGGACATGGTGAGAAGCTGCCATCGGACGGTCCTGTCCCTCAGCAGCTGCAGAGGGGTCTTTGGTGGCGCCGCATCGATGGCCGCCTGCTCCGCTAACATCTCGTCCATCTCTTGTTCGTAGTCACCCTGACCCCACAGACTCTGGAGAGCTGGAAGGAAAATCACCAGAGAGACAGACACTAAAAAGCTGTTCCTTTGCTCACATTCAAGACAGATTTTGTATAGGAGTGTTTGTTTCCTAAAGGGATATGAAATAAGAAAAAAGAAGAAGGATACAAAGGCTCAATGATACAAAATGTGTTGGGAAACCACAACCTACACTGCATGACCATGAAGGGGCATATTCAGCACATTTTTGGTTCATACTTGTACACTTTGTTTTGCCTAGAACATGATTACATGCTTTATTCATTAACCTGTATTACGACTGAAATGCTCTGTTTAAGCTTTAAGAGTCCACATTTTGTTCACAATAACCTCATCCTCAAATATTACAAGCAG